AAAAAAAAAATAAATATATATATATATATATAGCAAGTAATTTCATTTGAATTTATATTAAATTATTTGAAAGATGAAAAATTTGCTTGTCTAAATCATCTTTAAGCACATAAATAATTAATATCCGCAGAGATATAAAGCACACTTGAGACAGAACAACAAATTGCCGCGTAATGGGTGTTCGCTTCGCTAAATTTTCGCCCATCCCATCGGATCCACACTTTAACACACATTATGCTACCGGACGATTCAACCGAAGCGAAGGTTGGTGTGCAGGAGCAAGGTTACGTGGGCGAGCTAGCGAAGCCGTGGAGTATCGGAGAGTTAAGAAGGAGAATCTGCCGTAGAAGGGACCAGGACATGGGCACACGTCATGTTCTCCCTCGGCGAGGGTCTATCCTTTGCGGTTGTATCTGATAGCGTGCTTAACGAGGCACGAGTTGGATTTTTAAGTCACCCAGAAGACAATGTGCCGCGCTGCCCCCACAGTCATGCCTTTGCCTTCGGTTCCTGCCTGGCTCGTTCGGCGTCTCCCTGCCTCGCCTCTTTCCGTGGCCCTCCGGCCTTTACCGGTTTTCTGCATCAGATATCGTATACCTAAGACCTCAGTACCGGTTGTTTTTGCGACCAGGTTTCTCGCCGTCCCGGTGCCGTGCGGGTGCCCGGTCACGGCGGTCGTCGTAAAAAGGACGAAGAACGAGCCTGCGAGCGTTCCCTCAAAAATAGTAATTCCGAGCTCTGAAAAGCCTACGAATTCCGTTTCGGACTACCTGCCGCAAAATCGATTTGTCTAGAATAAGAGAAATGAAAGAAGCTAACACCAACGACAGGTGCGTTTAACACCTTTAAACGACGAATACACTGGCGAATACGTGGCGTAAGATAAATAACGTTATTATTTCCTTTCAGAAATTCACCGCTTTCACGAATAATATACGATTCGATTCACAAAGCTGAAGGTCCAACGAATAATAATTAATTGCGCTTCGGTACGCTTACATTTCTATTTTCTAGATAATCCATTTCGCGCGTGAATTCTCTCTGTGGGGGATCTTTCACGATCTTTCACGATCGTTAATCCGGCGCAGTCCTCTCGCGCGTTGGAAGGTAAAGTGTAATCCTTCCGGCATCAAAGATAACTTTACCTCGTCATCGTTTCTCCCCATTTCTCCCCATCGCCGACGACGTTCCAAGTATGACCTCGTTACCGCGGCTTGCCCCCGCCTCTTATCTAGTCAAGAAGGGTAGCACCAATCTCTTCGGCACTCTTCCCGTGCCGATTATGCGGGAACTTTGTAAGCGGGGGTGCAGGAAGCAGGTCGTCGGGTACCAAAGCTGCTTTGATGTCTGCTATGCCTACCGCGCGCGAACGCGAGAGCCAGAAAGCGACGAGGGAAGTGCGAGTTGGCGAGAAGGATAAGAAGAGGTTTCAAAGAGGAAAAAAGCCCTTTCAGTAAAGGCGTCGACCCTTGCAACTGCTGCCAGGCACAATTGTCACGAGGGATCGTACAGAACTATAGGCTTCTCTTTTCGCACAACTTGCATTTATCGCTTCTACCTACCGTCTACCGATCGTATCAAATAGCGTCGAGCCAAATAGCGAATTATTGCTATTTCATAAGCTAAGATCGTAGATAAAAAAGCAGTAAAAGATTCCTCGGCGTATTATTGAATTTAGCCAGCCTGTTCTCAGATAGATACAAAGGATCTAGGATCTAGGATCTATATCTTTTTGATATAATCTGAAGAAAATGCGACTAAATCTTTACATTTATATTTTGGTTCTTTTATATTAACAAGCAAAAGAATAGCGCATATTAAAAAAAATTATCAATAAATTATTTGAATAAAAAAAATTCCAAAAAAAGATTTCTATCTACAAAATTTTGTAAAATATTTATCAGAATTGAGAATTATTTACTATCCAATAGAAATGGATATTAAGAATGATACTTAACAATTAATTTAATAAACTGTTATAAAGATTTTAATAAAGATTTTTCAGTCTAATCGTCTTTAAAAACTCATTTTGAGTAAAATAAAATTAATATAACGCGTCAAGAATATTTAGAAAATTCTGTTAAGAACTTTTCGACTGCAATTATCAGATTACAAACTTATTTTTGCAGCTAGTTTTGCCATCTAGTGAAGACATTTGAGACACTTCCTTAAACACGCAATCGCACAGAACGAACTCGTAACATTAAAGATTAAAATGAGCGAAGCAAGAAGAAAGCAGAAACAGATAAATGACAAATAAAAAGACTATTCCAAAACTCGCTAAAGTACAATATCCCGAATACTTCAAGCTATTTGAAGGAAACCATTGCTGTGGTACAGTCTCCAGCTCGCTCTACTATTGTCTGGAGACGCAATAATTCTAAAGAAGTACTTTTTACTCCCCTTGGAAAGACCGAATAGGCGTATAAAAGAAAAATATTGCCAGGTACGAATGCAACCGGAGAAATTTCACACGCCACGGTATTCCGCACTGTCAAAATACGGCATTGAGCCGTACGTTGACGAATAGAGGTCGCTAAATAATAGAGCGGATAAGGGTGAAAATAAGACGTTTAAAACAGTGAAGTATTATTAAGAGGAACAGTCATATGATCTTTAAAGAAA